TTTAATTTAATGCCTTCAGCACCTGAAGTCAAGGTCTATACACAATCTACAATAGTAGCATTTTATATATCTATAGTAACAGCTGGAATCTTTCAGAAGCAAAAATGTTTTCGGTGCTTATTATAGTAAGCTACTGTGTGAATAGTTCAGGGGTGATATTTGAAAAAGTTCATAAGAAAATAAAATGCTGGCTTCTACATCACTAATTAAATTATCTGCAATGTAAACAAATGTTGTTAGTGCATTGTTGGGGTGCCAGAATCACTAGTGCACTGAGATACTGGGTTATATCTTAGTAGGAATGGGACTGTTTCAATAACCACTCCTGGAGCAATAGAACTCACAAAGTGCAATGCAGTATTATCTGAGGTACCAAGATAACATGGGCAGGCCACGTCATGGTGATATAATGTGTTTGCAGTTTAACTGATAGGCCTATAAAAATAATAACTATAATAAGATTAAGAAATAGTTGTAGGATATATTCTGGCAGTAGAATAAGCAGGTACAGGGTTTGGGGGTTAAAGTTATGTTTGCAAGGATACACCGTACACATCTGCAATTTTTGTATATCGTGGAGTATCCATGTCTGTTATACCTAGAATAAAATTATTTTTGGACACTGAGTTATCTTAAGACTATTCACTAATGTTCTATAGCTACAATAGTTTTTTCAAAGAGTTACTTGAGGTAATGATCCTGCACTAAGCAGGTCCTAGAACTAGAGCAATGAGGAGGATCAGGGCACCAGAGGGGCATTTACATTATCTGCAACATAGGCAGATGCAACAGAAGACACATCAGCTGCTACTTTTTCATGAGTGGTAGTATTTGAAGCATATATGGTGATATTTGTAGTATTTGTGGTAGCACTGATTGTGGGAATAAGCAAATAACTGGTTGTAGAATTTGATGATCTCAAATGGTTTGTTTCTATATCTGTAAAAGCCATGTCTCAGGTTGCTATAGTATCTGGGCTAGAAATATGTGTACTGTTGCCTGTAGCACTGCTGGACTTATCTGCATCAATAGTATTTTCCACATGTCTTGCATCAGGTACAGTATTGGTTGTGGGAATATCTGTGGTACTTGGGAGGTAAATATTTGGAAGGGACTTATCAGAAGTAGTTGAATTTGTACTGAAAATATACGTAGGTGTGGTGTTATATGCTGTAATGAAATCTTCGGTAGCTTCAACAGTATTAGTTGTGTCATTAGTATTATTTGTTGGGACAGGAATGATTATACTAGGAATCACAGCACTAGTGTTATCTATATTAGGACCTGTAGGGAAAGCAGTAGCTGTGTCAGGAAGAGTAGAATTAGCCGTGACATTAATAGCATCCAGTGTATCAGTTGTGGTTGTGATAGAAAAAGTTGAACTAACGCTAGCAGTGGTAGTATTTGTAGGGAAAGGAGTAGTTACATCAAGAGCTGTAGTGTTAACTGTAAAATTGACATAGGGTGTAGTCGTAATATGTATGCCATCACTAGTGGTATCCATATCGGAAACTGCAGGAAAAGGTGTAGCTGTGTCAGGGAGAGTAAAATTAACTGTGGCATTAATAGTATTTGTTGTATAAAGTGAAGTTGTAACAGGAAGCCCTGGACTAGAGCTACCTATAGTAGGACTTGTAAGGGAAGGTATAGCTATATCAGGCAGTGTGGTGTTAGTGGTAACATCAACAGTACTTATTTCAGAGGTTGTGGTTATGACAGGAAAAGAACTAGTGTTACCTATAGTAGGACTTGTAGATCTATAGTAGGACTCGTAGGGGAAGGTGTAGTTATATTAGGCAGTGTGGTGTTAGTACTTATTTCAGGAGTTGTGGTTGTGTTGGGAAAAGTTGGACTAGTGGTATCTATAGTAGGACTCGTAGGGGAAGGTGTAGTTATATTAGGCAGTGTGGTGTTAGTACTTATTTCAGGAGTTGTGGTTGTGTTGGGAAAAGTTGGACTAGTGGTATCTATAGTAGGACTCGTAGGGGAAGGTGTAGTTATATTAGGCAGTGTGGTGTTAGTACTTATTTCAGGAGTTGTGGTTGTGTTGGGAAAAGTTGGACTAGTGGTATCTATAGTAGGACTCATAGGGGAAGGTGTAGTTATATTAGGCAGTGTGGTGTTAGTACTTATTTCGGGAGTTGTGGTTGTGTTGGGAAAAGTTGGACTAGTGGTATCCATAGTAGGACTCGTAGGGGAAGGTGTAGTTATATTAGGCAGTGTGGTGTTAGTACTTATTTCAGGAGTTGTGGTTGTGTTGGGAAAAGTTGGACTAGTGGTATCTATAGTAGGACTCGTAGGGGAAGGTGTAGTTGTATTAGGCAGTGTGGTATTAGTACTTATTTCAGGAGTTGTCGTTGTGTTGGGAAAAGTTGGACTAGTGGTATCTATAGTAGGACTCGTAGGGGAAGGTGTAGTTATAGTAGGCAGTGTGGTATTAGTACTTATTTCAGGAGTTGTCGTTGGGTTGGGAAAAGTTGGACTAGCGGTATCTATAGTAGGACTCATAGGGGAAGGTGTAGTTATAGTAGGCAGTGTGGTATTAGTACTTATTTCAGGAGTTGTCGTTGGGTTGGGAAAAGTTGGACTAGCGGTATCTATAGTAGGACTCATAGGGGAAGGTGTAGTTATAGTAGGCAGTGTGGTATTAGTACTTATTTCAGGAGTTGTCGTTGGGTTGGGAAAAGTTGGACTAGCGGTATCTATAGTAGGACTCATAGGGGAAGGTGTAGTTATATTAGGCAGTGTGGTATTAGTACTTATTTCAGGAGTTGTGGTTAGGTTAGGAAAAGTTGGACTAGTGGTATCTATAGTAGGACTCATAGGGGAAGGTGTAGTTATGTTAGGCAGTGTGGTGTTAGTACTTATTTCAGGAGTTGTGGTTAGGTTAGGAAAAGTTGGACTGGTGCTGTCTATAGTAGGACTCATTGGGGAAGTTGTAGTTATATTAGGCAGTGTGGTGTTAGTGGTAACATCAACAGTACTTATTTCGGAGATTGTGGTTATGACAGGAAAAGAACTAGTGTTACCTATAGTAGGACTCATAGGGAAAGCTGTAGTTATATTAGGCAGTGTGTTGTTAGTGGTATCATCAACAGTACTTACTTCAGGAGTTGTGGTTATGTTAGGAAAAGTTGGACTAGTGCTATCTATAGTAGGACTCATAGGGGAAGGTGTAGTTATATTAGGCAGTGTGGTGTTAGTTATTTCGGGAGTTGTGGTTGTGTTAGGAAAAGTTGGACTAGTGCTATCTATAGTAGGACTCATAGGGGAAGGTGTTGATGTACCAGGCAGTGTGTTGTTAGTGGTATCAACAGTACTTATTTCGGGAGTTGTGGTTGTGTTAGGAAAAGTTGGACTAGTGCTATCTATAGTAGGACTCATAGGGGAAGGTGTAGTTATATTAGGCAGTGTGGTGTTAGTACTTATTTCAGGAGTTGTGGTTGTGTTGGGAAAAGTTGGACTCGTAGTATCTATAGGAGGACTCATAGGGGAAGGTGTAGTTATATTAGGCAGTGTGGTGTTAGTACTTATTTCAGGAGTTGTGGTTGTGTTGGGAAAAGTTGGACTCGTAGTATCTATAGGAGGACTCATAGGGGAAGGTGTAGTTATATTAGGCAGTGTGGTGTTAGTACTTATTTCAGGAGTTGTGGTTGTGTTGGGAAAAGTTGGACTCGTAGTATCTATAGGAGGACTCATAGGGGAAGGTGTAGTTATATTAGGCAGTGTGGTGTTAGTACTTATTTCAGGAGTTGTGGTTGTGTTGGGAAAAGTTGGACTCGTAGTATCTATAGGAGGACTCATAGGGGAAGGTGTAGTTATATTAGGCAGTGTGGTGTTAGTACTTATTTCAGGAGTTGTGGTTGTGTTGGGAAAAGTTGGACTCGTAGTATCTATAGGAGGACTCATAGGGGAAGGTGTAGTTATATTAGGCAGTGTGGTGTTAGTACTTATTTCAGGAGTTGTGGTTGTGTTGGGAAAAGTTGGACTCGTAGTATCTATAGGAGGACTCATAGGGGAAGGTGTAGTTATATTAGGCAGTGTGGTGTTAGTACTTATTTCAGGAGTTGTGGTTGTGTTGGGAAAAGTTGGACTCGTAGTATCTATAGGAGGACTCATAGGGGAAGGTGTAGTTATATTAGGCAGTGTGGTGTTAGTACTTATTTCAGGAGTTGTGGTTGTGTTGGGAAAAGTTGGACTCGTAGTATCTATAGGAGGACTCATAGGGGAAGGTGTAGTTATATTAGGCAGTGTGGTGTTAGTACTTATTTCAGGAGTTGTGGTTGTGTTGGGAAAAGTTGGACTCGTAGTATCTATAGGAGGACTCATAGGGGAAGGTGTAGTTATATTAGGCAGTGTGGTGTTAGTACTTATTTCAGGAGTTGTGGTTGTGTTGGGAAAAGTTGGACTCGTAGTATCTATAGGAGGACTCATAGGGGAAGGTGTAGTTATATTAGGCAGTGTGGTGTTAGTACTTATTTCAGGAGTTGTGGTTGTGTTGGGAAAAGTTGGACTCGTAGTATCTATAGGAGGACTCATAGGGGAAGGTGTAGTTATATTAGGCAGTGTGGTGTTAGTACTTATTTCAGGAGTTGTGGTTGTGTTGGGAAAAGTTGGACTCGTAGTATCTATAGGAGGACTCATAGGGGAAGGTGTAGTTATATTAGGCAGTGTGGTGTTAGTACTTATTTCAGGAGTTGTGGTTGTGTTGGGAAAAGTTGGACTCGTAGTATCTATAGGAGGACTCATAGGGGAAGGTGTAGTTATATTAGGCAGTGTGGTGTTAGTACTTATTTCAGGAGTTGTGGTTGTGTTGGGAAAAGTTGGACTCGTAGTATCTATAGGAGGACTCATAGGGGAAGGTGTAGTTATATTAGGCAGTGTGGTGTTAGTACTTATTTCAGGAGTTGTGGTTGTGTTGGGAAAAGTTGGACTCGTAGTATCTATAGGAGGACTCATAGGGGAAGGTGTAGTTATATTAGGCAGTGTGGTGTTAGTACTTATTTCAGGAGTTGTGGTTGTGTTGGGAAAAGTTGGACTCGTAGTATCTATAGGAGGACTCATAGGGGAAGGTGTAGTTATATTAGGCAGTGTGGTGTTAGTGGTAACATCAACAGTACTTATTTCAGGAGTTGTGGTTGTGTTAGGAAAAGTTGAACTGGTGCTGTCTATAGTAGGACTCATTGGGGAAGTTGTAGTTATATTAGGCAGTGTGGTGTTAGTGGTAACATCAACAGTACTTATTTCGGAGATTGTGGTTATGACAGGAAAAGAACTAGTGTTACCTATAGTAGGACTCGTAGGGAAAGCTGTAGTTATATTAGGCAGTGTGGTGTTAGTACTTATTTCGGGAGTTGTGGTTGTGTAAGGAAAAGTTGGACTGGTGCTATCTATAGTAGGACTCATAGGAGAAGTTGTAGTTATATTCAACAGTGTGGTGTTAGTGGTAACATCAACAGTGCTTATTTCAGGAGTTGTGGTTGTGTTAGGAAACGTTGGACTAGTGTTAATAGTAGTAGGACTCATGGAGAAGGGCGTAGTTACATTAGGAGGTAAGGTACTAGATGTGACATTAGTAGTACTTATTTCAGGAGCTGTTGTTGTGATAGAAAGAGTTGGACTACTCATGGGCCAAGGTGTAGTGATATCAGAAGGTATGGTGCTGGTAGTGACCACAACAGTACTTGTCACATTGGGTGTCGTTATGTTAGCAGAACTTGTGGTGGTGTCAGCACTGGTAGCCTCAGTACTGGATGGAAATGGGGGAAAACTTGTGGGAGAGATGCTCGTTGTAATTGGAGTAGGAAGTGTAGGAACTCCAAACACCCAAGTAACTTCAGTTAGCTTTTCCAGGCTGATACTCTTTTCAGTCAGGTGAATAGTTAGTGTCTGCCAGAAACGTAAAAGTAAGTCAATATGTTAGGACTTCTTAAACATTATATTTTTTTACACTTCAAATTATCATTTAACAAAAAGCGTGCTCATTCTTTCTCCCAAGGAGTAAAAGGACATGATTATTTCTTTGGGGATTATGTTAGATCTAGTTAGATAAACATGGTGAGCTGCTCTGTGTATATAACCGTGTACTGGAAATCTTTCTTCCCACTTTATTCCATCAGAATTATATTCATTATCCACAAGTATTTATAGCTGTAGTTAAAGTCTGTGTTTATGAGACTCTCATTCTGGCAATCGCAAGCCTTCCTGAAAGCATACTAGTTTCACTTTCTCATCATCTAACCCTACAGCACCACCTGGCACATAGCAGGTACATGATATGCTAGAATTTTCCCAAAAGATAGTATTCAATGACTGTATACACTTGTGTTAATTGGAAATAATTTTCTGTGAGTAATGATGAATCCAACAATCCAAGAAATTTCTTTTAAAGTACATAAATAAGACTACTATAGAGAAAGATTCTAGTTGGGTGCCCAGAAGTGTCGTTTCACAAAATTTCCCCTTTGAAGATTTGTTTTTGAAAGATTTATTTATTTTAATTTTTATGTGCATGAGTGTTTTGCCTGCATGTGTGAAGAGTACTGTGTGTTAGAAGCAGGAATTACAGTTATCCATTTTCATATCTCTAAACTATTCCCTACAGGGCTGCATCCATATCTAAAATTCATCGTATGTTCTAAAATGGAACTTTTGCATTCCTGTTGCTACTTGTAATAAATCAGCAATACATCTTGTAAAACATTGGTTTACTTGGTTCTGGAAGAATAAACAAAAATGCCCCTTTAATAAAATCTATCTGTGGCACTCCTCTTGTTAACCAAATAAGTGTATTTTGTACCATTGACTACAACATATTCATTTGAGAATCAACAAATCGAGTGCCCGTTTTCAACTTCAATGACCCATCAATTTGCCCAGGGATGGGCACACTGCAAGAAAGAGAGAAGAACCTTCAAAAGCTTTAAGGAATCACTTCACCTTTGTTTTAGCCTTGGAGCAGAAAAGTTATTTTGTCTAGATGTATGTAACCTAAGAAAGCAACATATTCAAACATAACTCAATTTCATTGATCAACACAGAGAGGCTATGAGACTCTGATCATTCATACCTGGACTCCAAAGGGAAGACCACCAGTGCTGTGAATTTTACAGAAATCATAACGTAATCAGCCCTCACAACATAACAGAAACATACCTTCTATACAAATATACAACCGTTCTAAGGTCTATACATTGAGGAGTGATAGCAATAGCAGAGATAATTTTCAGAATAATGAAATGAGTTTGTGATAACAGTCCTTTCAGACATACCTGATTGTAGGGATCACTCATGAAATTGGTCTCCATGACCTGCTGGTTGTTGTAGATGAGCCTGACTTGGACGACATAAGAAGAGTCTAAACCCCAGATTCTAATATATCCAACTTTCAGTGGGTTTGAGTCGCTCAGATATTGATTATGTATGACCTGGATTTTTAAGGTGTTCTGTAAAGAATATAAAGAGAAAAGATATATATATGTATTACATATAATGCACTGTTAATAAGTTATATTTCGTGTTGCAATGTGAAAAGAGCTCAAATTAATTTATCATACTCCCTTGTAGTTTCCATTTTTAACTGCACATTTTGTGAAGACACACTTCTTAAACACCAGTTAAAACTAATTAGATGATGTCAAAAATGAGTTTATGGGATTCTCTTGCTTCAGGGACCACACCTACTCTGACTAGATAGTTAGACCCTCCCCACACTGTCCCCGCCCCACCCCGGCCTTGGCCCTTGGCCTCCTCCTGGTCATCTTGTCTGAGACATGCACATACCTTGGTAAGTCAGACCCTGCCCGTTGACAAGATACATCCTTTCTCCCCATGCTCTCCCCATTCCAGACTTAGGCCTAGGCCCCCTTCAGCTCTTCCCTCCGAGACCTATGGACTAGCCTGTAACCCAGATCCTACCCACTGTGTCTTGACTGTCCTACACCCAGACTAGCTACATTCTCCTGTTTCAGAGCCCACACCTACTCTGCAGCTAGGTAGAACCTCCCCACACTATCCCCATATCCACCTTGGCCCTAGGTCACCCCCAATCTTCTTGCTTGAGACCTCCTGACTAGGCTGCCAGAACCCAGGCACTGGATCTCCATAATCTTGACTCGGGCCTAGGTCCCTTCACCCTGCCAGAGAGCTCTTCACTAGTCACTCTGGAACTATCTGGTCCCGCCAATAAAAAACAAAAAAAATGAGACCCTGGAGCACAGACCAACTAACTATTCATGCCAGACCAGAAAGCAAGCAAGCAAGCTACATCAACAATATAAACATGATCAAACTTCAACTACCCAAAGGCAGACTAGAATTTCATATCAAACACACGATTAACAAAAGAAATCCATATGCCCAAACTATAATGCAAAAATATCCAAGTAATATGTAAACACCAAGAGAGTATATCCCAACCAAAACCCACCAGCCATACAGAAGTATACTACAATGAGAACCACCCAGAAGAACCCGGGAGGCAGAATGTAAAAGAACAATCATAAACATGATCATAGAATTCAGTGACTTTAAATAACACAAAAACTAGTCAAAAAGGACGGGAATAAACTCGTGAGTGAAGCTCAGGGAAATACGAATATACGGCTGAACGAGACGACAGAAACAATTTAAGACTTGAAAAGTGAATTCACAAAAGAAATACAAATATTAAAGAAAAATCAAACTGGAATGAAAATGAAATTGAAAAAATCAATAAGCTAATTTGCAATGACAGGAGAAAGCCTCACAAGCAGAATGAATGAAATAGAAAACACAATATCAAAAATGGATGACAAAGTTGAAGAACTGGACCCCTCAAGCAAAGAATATCGAAAAACATTTTAAAACCTAGGAATGGAATATTCAGAAAATGTGAGACCCCAGAAAAGAACGAACCTATGCATCGTAGGCATAGAGGTAAGAAAATAATCTTTGGTCAATGACACTGACCAGATCTTCAATAGGATGATAAAAGAAAACTTCCCCAAATTAAGGGAAAATGTACATATGCAGATATAAGAAGCATACAGAATACCAATTAGACCAATTAGACAGGACCGGAACAGAAACTCCCCATGGCATATCATAGTGAAAATACTAAATGAACAGAACAGAGGGAGGGTACTGAAAGCTGCCAGAGAAAAACAAGTTACTTATAAAGGAAAACCCATCAGAATTTCAACGGACTTTTCAATGCAAACTATAAAACCCAGCAAAGCCTGGACCAAAGTATTCCTGGATGCCATAGATGACAATCCAGAATTTGTTACCCAACAAAATTGTCTATCATAGTCAAAGGGAAAAGAAAAAATCCTCTATGATACAAATGGGCTGAACGAATTCATGTCCACCTAACCAGTTCTACAGAGAATACTCAAAACAGTGCAAAGGACTGAAGAAATGACCATACTCAAGAGGTTACAGAAAGAAAACAAACGAAGGTGGTTTGAGAGTAGAGAAACACAAAATAAGACTAAGAACACAAATAGAAAGTAAAATGACAGTACTCAATTCACACATTCCAATAATAACTCCAAATAGCAATGGCCTTAATACACAATCAAAAGACATAGGCTAGTTGGTTGGATTAAGAAATAAAATACATCTATTTGTTATCTGCAAGAAACCCATCTCACCTCCAAGGATAGAAAACACCTTAAGATGAAAGGACGGAAAAATATTCCAAGCAAAGGTCACTAAGAAACAAGCAGGAGTTGCTATTCTAATATCTAAGAGCAGCCCATGTTAGTGGCTCTGAAATTGACCACATACTAGGGCACAAAACAAACCTCAACACATACAAAAAACATTGAAATAATTCCATGTATTCTATCAGCCCACAATACAATAAAGCTTAAAATCAAATCAACAGTAAAAGAAGTCCTAGTAACTACACTAACTCCTGGTGATTAAACAATGCACTCCTGAGTGATGAATGGGTCAAAGAAGAAACCAAGAAAGAAAGAAAAGTATTCCTAGAACTAAATGAAAATGATAACACAATACAACAAAACATCTGGGACACATTAAAAGCAGTCCTAAGAGGGAAATTCATAATTCTAAGTGCCTACATTAAAAAATTCAAAATAAATGACACATAAATGACTTAATGGTACAACTTAAGAATTTGAAAGGGCAAGAACAAACCAAACCCAAACCCAAGAACTGAGAAGGAATAATAAAAATCAGAACACTTTTAAAGACATTTCTTAGCCATTTTTATTTCTTTTTTGAAATAAAAAGTTTTATTGAGTGTTTGTGCATTTCATATAATACAACTTAATCAAAAAAAAATCAGAGCAGAAATCAATGAAATAGAAACAAAGAAAATACAAAGAATCAACTAATCTAAGAGATGGTTCTTTGAAAAGATAAACAAGATAGACAGACCCTTAGCCCAGCTAACCAAAAGAAAGAAAGAGCAAATCCAAATCAGCAAAATTATAGATGAAAGGGGAAACATCAGAACAGACAACAAAAATCCAGAATATTATAAAGGAATACTTCAAAAAAACCTGTACTATACTAAATTAGAAAATCTAAACGAAATGGATGAATTTCTAAATTCAATGGATTCACCAAAGTTAAACCAAGCAGAGGTCAACAGCTGAAACAGACCCATAACAAATAAGGAAATCAAAACAGTAGTGGAAAGCCTCCCAACTGAAACAGCCCAGGCCATGATAGAGTCACAGCAGAATATTACCAGGACTTCAAAGAAGATATACAACCAATACTAATTAAATTATTCAAAAAGATAGAAACAGAGGGAGAATCCCCAAGCTCCTTCTATAAAACCATTATTACTCTATTACCAAAACCAGGTAAAGACACAACATAAAAGAAAACTACAGCCAGGTGTGCTGGTGCACACTTTTAATCCTAGCACTCGGGAGGCAGAGGCAGGTGGATCTCTGTGAGTTCAAGGCCAGCCTGGTCTACATAATGAGTTCCAGGACAGCTGGGGCTACAGGGAGACCCTGTCTCAAAAAGACCAAAAAAAAAAAAACTCAACAAAATACTTACCAAATAGACACACATTAAAAAGATGAACCACCATGAAAAGGTGGCTTTATTCCACAAATTCAAGGACAGTTCAATATACATAAGTCAATAAATATAATAAATCATATAAATTAACTTAAAGAGAAAAAAATCACATGATCATCTCAATAGATGCAGAAAAGGCCTTTGACAAAACTCTATATGCATTTATGTTAAAAGTCCAAGAGGAAATTAGACTGGAGGGAACATACGTCAACGTAATTACAACAAACTCACAGCCAACATCATTCTAAATGGAGAAAAACTGGAAGCATTCCCACTGAAATCAGGACTCAAACAGGGCTGTTCACTATCTACACACCTTTTCAATAGAGTGCTTGAAAGTCTTGCTAGAGCAATAAGATGAGAGAAAGAAATTAAAGGAGTACTAATTGGAAAAGAAGAGACCAAATTATTACCATTTTCAGATGATATGGTATTATACATAAGGGATCCCCAAAATTCTACCACAAAACTAGAAATGATCAACACTTTCCTCAAAGTGGCAGTTTACAAAATCAATGTACAAACTCAGTAGTCTTTCTATATATAAGTAAGAAACAATCAGAGAAAGAGTCGATGGAAACCCTGCCACTCACAATAGTCTCAAAAAATAAAATATCTTGGACATACTTTGGACACAGGACTTGGAGCAATCGAGCTGAAACTGATCTGGAAATCTCCTCCCTGAAGACTATCTCTCACAATTTTAAAGGATACTATGGAAGCTGGTAAGAGAGAAAATCAATCAACGATCCAATCCCAGTTTTAAAGCCTAACAACCGCAACGACTGGTACAGCAAAGTATATCAGTGCAGTAGTGACACTAGGGGTTAATCAACAGCTATCTAACTGGACTTAAAGCCTGCATCAGTGGGAGGTAAATCATGTGTGATACTGTAAACAGCCAAGTACACATGACTGTAGAGATCATAGATCCTAGGGAAAACCCTACCTCTGTCATATCCCTAGACAAATGTAATTTCTTACTGTATATTTACAGACAAGTATACTGTTTTGCAACAGATGGAGTCTAGTGCTGAGTTCCACAACTGGTCACACACAGAGAATAAGTCTCTGCGAGATGCCCAGCCCTAGGTGACACATCTACAATGGAACCTCTACATCTAAAGCTCATAAGACATAGTGGAACAGGGAATAGAGAGAATAATAATGCATCTCTCAACTTTCATCAGTGACGTTTCCTCATACAACAGAGGGTGATACACACTGAAGGACAAAACTGGGCAAACTGTAGAGAATAAGAGACTTCAGAGTGTGTATCCCTGGATGGGACTCCCATATTAAACCTCACCCCACCAGGGCTCAGGGACCTTTGCAGAGGAGGATGTAGAAAGACTGTAAGAGTCAGGGGTGGTGCAAGACCACAAGGAAACAGCATATTCCAGGCCTCTGAGAACTTGCTCATATGAACTTAAAACAATGGTGACAGCATGCACAAGACCCATGCAAACACAATCAGAAAAAATAATAAAGCCCACCATAGAACTAGGAAAAGGACAGTAGGCCCTAACCTTAGCTAAAGGACTATTGCCAGCTGATCACTGCTGGGTGAGGGAGAGTTGGTCTTCTTTAAGGGAGTGATACTAGATATGCTGAACAGGGTTTAGTGGATGAATTCACACTGAGGGATATCTAGATACACAAACTTGACTCGATAGACCTTAACACATATGACAGAATGAAAATGGGTAGGCTATGGAAGGGCGCAGAGAGGGAAGGGGTCTAACTATGATTAAGATGTATTGAATGAAATGCGCAAAAATTCAATAAAGATTATATATTGAAAAAATTAGGTTATGAGACTATGAAATGTTCTGAAAGTTATTTTGTGCATATTATTACTAATTTTTATAATAAATTTGAAAACAGTGTGTCATAATTTTTGTTTTACAGAGGAGGAAAGTAAGGCTGTGGGAGATGGAGCAGCCCATGTCCATGTAACTAAATGACAGATACAGCAGAATGACGGTGTGCAAGTTAATATAGAAGTGTGGTACACTGTCACCAGATTAGAAAACTTTGAGAGGAATGGAGGAATTTATCCAAACCATGAGCTACTTAAATACCAATACGAGGGGTTAAAATGAGATAAATCATGAGATGCTACAAAACTAAGATTAAATGAAAACCATAACCAAAATTTGTTATGGATGTCAAGAAAATAGAAAAAAGAAATCTCTGTGGGAATACAGTAGGTAAGGAGAAGTTAGTGAAGATGTGGAACTTCAAAAGGATAAGCTAGACAAGGAATGGAGCCGGGGTACTTGAACGACTAAGTAAACAGAGGACTGGGATTGGTTGAAAGCTAAAACCATGACAACAAACCAGGGGGCAGGGCAGTAGAACAAAGCCACAGATGTTGGTTCTGGTGATAGCAGCAAACAGAGAAATTAAGAGGTTCAAACGCCACTGTAAAAAATTAACAAACCAAGTGTAGTAGTGCACAATTGCAGTCCTAGCACCGGAGGGGCTAAGGCAGAAGTGTCATGAGTTAGGGGCCTGCTGAGCTACATAGTAAGTTCAAAGTAAGTCTGAGATACAGAGGATGAGACTCAGTTTCCAAAAAAGAATTAAAGGGACTTTTGTTACTGATTGGGCATGTACGATCAAAGAAAAAGGTCAAGAAAAAAATAATGTGAAGAAAATAGGCAGACTGGAGTTAGTTCTTCTTGATTTGAAAGAGCCAGTTATTGGGCTGGAGATATAGCTCACCAGTTAAGAGCACTGGCTGCTCTTGTAGAGGACCCAGATTCGATTCCCAGCACCCACATGGTGGCTAATAACCATCTATAACTCCAGTTCCAGGGGAATCCAATCCTCTCTTCTGGACCTCTGTGGGCATTGCACAACACAGCATACATACATACACACAGGCAACACATACACATAAAATAAAAATAATAAATAAAATATTTTTTAAAAAGAAAGAGCTGATTATCAAATTTCCTGAAACTTTGTGAGCTACTTTGTAGAAGTATTCTCAGTGTAGAAATCAGAATATGCTACAAGTAACTCGACCCGCCCACACACACACAGACAAGCTGGTTTACCAATCAGGGCAGCATTGATAATAATCGCCCCACCCCCAAAAGAATTTAGGGGTTTCTTTCATCTCAGGCTGATCCTTAAGAGAAACAATTCCATGAAACATCACAAAAGAATCCATTTCTCATTACTTTGGCAGAGCAATATAATTGAACTTTTAGAGTTGGAAGTCCTTTAAGGGTAATCTAATGTTGTATAATAGAGAAACATTTAACAGAAGTGTCTCTCTTAAATTCAATGAGTCTTACCTGTGCTGCTGTAAAGTGGGCTAAGAAATAGTCCCCATTTTCATAGGTATCTGCAAACAGGAAGAAAAGAATAAACAACTACAAATTTTTCAGTTGTAGCAGATAATCTCATGTTCAGTCAGAAATATCTTAAATGGATCACAATTACTAACAAGGTATTTATCATCTTCTTGTGCCTACTATGCCCAAGACCCTGGGTTTAATCTCTAGCACCCAAAATTAAAAGTAGTAGCTGAGCCAAACTTTTCACTCCAGGTTGTGAATGATGTGTGAATAGAGGGGGACTGGGCATGAAGATAAGTTGCAAATGCAAGATAATCTGATTAAATTAAGAGAGACGCTATGCATGAAATGTTGCTAATTAGTTACTCTGCACTGATCAAGAAGGAGAGTCCACATAGGTATGAAAATAAAGGCTTAAAGAAGAGGAAAGTGTTTACCTATCAAGTCACACAGACATGAATTCAAAACTTAATTC